GCAGGACCCAAGGGGCCTCCCTGATGGCCCAGGGGCTAAAGTCTCAGCACTATCAAGCGATCAGCAGCCCCTGCGGCCTGAGTTCCGTCCCTGGCCAGGGAGGGACCCCAGGGCACAGCAGACCCCTCCTGTCTCCTGCCGTCCCCCTCCGCCGCGGATTTCAGTGGATCCGCCTGTTCTGCTCCCCACTGTCTCTGGGGAGTCGTCGTTCCACCGTACCTCTGGCCTGCACCCTCGTATGCATAAATAAAATAATTAAATCTTTAAAACAAAAAGCAGGACACAACACTTGACAGAGTCCCACTTCTCTTCTGCCGGAAGGGCAAAAGTGAGCGGCCCGACAGCCTACCCCAGCCTGGCCGCTGGGCTGCCCTCCCGCCCGCAGGCGCCGGGCCCACGCCCTGCCCCGCCCTGTCCCACCCTGTCCACCTGCACGGCAAACGCTTCTCCGGCCTCCTCCGACGGCCAGCTCATGGCCCCACACAGGCGGCGGCCGCTGAGGCCCTGTGTGTTTTTCTCCTGCCGGTCGTCTTCCAGTCAAGCGTCTCAGTGGGAAACTCAGAAAAGCAGAGCAGATGACTTCTCCTCCCGACACCCCTTTCTCGCCGCTTCTGGATCACACACCTCCCTCCACACCCCCCGCGCCCCCCAAGCCGTGTCTCCCGGACCTGCCTAGGCTGGTCCTCCTGCCTGAAGACTCCACTCCCCGCTCCCCTTCTTACCCAGCTCCCGCAGCGCCTCCTTTCCAGGGCAAGCTCTTCCCTGCCCCCCGCCCCGTTTGGATCAGGCACCTGACCCGACACCCCACGTTCTGCAGGCCCAGGGGGCCGTGGGTGCCCCCAGCCACCACGGTGCTGCTCTTAAGTGTGCGAGCCCAATAAATACAGGACACATGAAAAACCCTGCAGGTTCTGATTTCTTCCCTAAAGGGGGCCCCATCGTCCGGCTGCTACCCAGCAAGCCACAGCCCGTCTTAGGGGCAGCAAGGCCCCTCTCAAAGTTTGGCCTTTTAGAAACTCCCCAGCGGGCGCTCAGGACAGCGGCACCCCAATTTACTCATCATGGAAATTACTGATTACTGGAGTTACTCACTAAGTTACAAGTGCCGGGGCCTGTGGGAAAGCCAGGTCCCCCCTCGGGCTTCGCAAGCCGCTGGAGCAGCGAAGACCATAAACACGCTGATCTCTCAACACCAGTCACGACAGGGGCCACAAACCCCGCGGCCACAGACTCCCGGGTACGTGGGACAGGCGGCGGCCAGACGCTCAAAACATCAAATTCAAAACCAGGCCAGCAGAGGGAAGTGTGGACCCTGGAAACATCACATCTCACTGCATCTGCCGGAGAGACTGCTGTGGGTCCTGATGAGGGAAAACCGGGCAGGCGCCCCCGCAGGAGTCGGGGGCACAGGGCCGGGGGGCAGGGGGCGGGCCGTGGGGGGCTGGCCCGGCCCGGCCTCTGCAGGGCAGGCGGGCGTCTGGCTGAGGTGCCCGCCCTGGGCCGTGGGGAGCCTCAGGCGGCCCGGCCGGAGCCAGCAGGGGGCTCAGAGACAAGTCCAAGGCAAAGGCCAGACAGCCAGGGACGCCGAGGTGGCCAGGGTCTCGCTGGACACCCGAGACAGCAAAGCGCCTCGAGCACCACCGTCACGCCCACGTCGCCATGGGGGACCGTGTAGGGACCCTGACCAGGGCCTGCTTCTGGCTTCTGGCCAAGCGCCCGCGCCCCTCTGGGGCCTCCGGGCCTGACACCCCGAGAGCCAGGCCTGGCAGGAGAGCCTGGCCCAGCACCCCCCTGGGGCCTCCTGCCACCCTGTGTCCCCACAGCCAGGCTGGCCCCGGGGGCAGCGCCTGCAGCATCTAAAAGTGAATTCAAGGAGTCTCGAGCCCCAAGGACGAAGCAGAGGCCGCCCAGACTCCACCAGCTCCAACTGCCACGCCCAGTTCAGTCCACTCCACGCGGTCCTGCCACTCTTAGAGAGCAGCCGGCGGGCAAGAGAACACAGAACCCCTGCCCGGAACGAGTCGGGGGCGGGGCGGGGGGACAGCTATGCCAAAAGCTGGAATTACAGTCTAAGTATGTGAGGATTTATGTTCGCACAGCACTGAAGCCTGGCTGAAGGCGTTTGGCCTTTTAGAAACTCCCCAGCGGGCGCTCAGGACAGCGGCACCCCAATTTACTCATCATGGAAATTACTGATTACTGGAGTTACTCATTAAGTTACAAGTGCCGGGGCCTGTGGGAAAGGCCCGGGTCCCCCCTCGGGCTTCGCAAGCCGCTGGAGCAGCGAAGACCACAACACGTTGCTGTGACTGCCCGTGACCAGCCAGGTGCGGCTGAGGCCAGTGCTGGACAGCTGGGCAGCTGCAGCCACACGGTGCCCCCCACCGTCCTGTGTGTGGCGGGTGACGCAGCCTGGCGGAGGGAGGTAAACAAAACTGCTGGAGGCTTCTGGAAGCGTTTTCCTGCCTTAGCAAATGGGCCCCGGGCCGGACCAGGCTCCTCCTGGGGACGCCGCCAATGGAGTGTGCGCCAGGGCGCCCGGGCGCTGTGCCACCCTGCGGGCAGGAAGGAGAGGGCCGGACTGTGTCCGAGTCGCCCGGACCTCACACGCACCCAACTGGGAGGAAGGAGGCCCCTCGTCGTTGGGCGTGGCACCCCAAAACATCGAGACAGACACTAGATTCCAACGAGGCGTGGAGAAAGCAGTTGCAAAGGGCGAAGGTGCTTGCTCCCGTCGGCCCGGTAGCACATTCTCGGCCGGCGAGAGCGGAGACAGCAGCGCTCGGGGATGCGGGCGCAGCCCGTGACCAGCACGCGAAGGGCCCCACCAGCCAGGAGCCTCAAAGTGCCCCCGGGGCGAGCTCGCACTGGGGGCTGCCTGTCCCGGGACTCCTGACCGCCAGTCAGCAGCGCTGGCCTGGGCACGCCCCACCTGCCCCCGAGGTGTCTGCCAGGCGCCTCAGCGCCCAGGCCCGAGGGTGGGCGTCCTCCAAGCAGCATCCTTTCCCAAACAACTCCTGCTCTGCCTCTACCCCGGGCTCCTCACGCCGCCCGCATGCATTTCCCTGAATGGAATCTAGAGCTCGCGGGCAGGGCCCAGGGCCCCTTCCCCCCTGGGTACTCAGCCCTCCGGCCGCCATCCTCCTGACTCGTTCTCTGCTCGAGACACTGCGCTCAGAGACCTTCGAGTCTGTTTCTCGGTCCCACTAGCTGGAGAATTACTCAAGGGCACAACTCCTGCTCTGCACCCCTGGTCAGTTGCTGGCCGGCAGGCAGTGACCGTGCACCCAGAGCTGCAGCCACTGACCCTCCCTTCTCATGCTGCCGGGAAGCAGAGGCAAAGCTCCACGCCTGGGGCCTGGCCGAGGCCTGGGCAGCGCTGCCGCCCTGCCCACGCCCCCCCGCCCCCCGCCCAGGTTTGGGGAGGTCTCCACCTTGTGCGTCTGGATGAAAAAGCGCGTACACGGACCGCTTCCCTCGACGGGATGAAGCGGCGGGCGCTGGGTCTGCGCCCCGCCCCGGGTGACCAGCTTCACCCACCATATTTGGGCGCGGGAGCGTGGGGATGGGTGGGCAGGACGTCCCTCTCCAGCCTCAACATCAGTGCGGCTTGGGGTGTCTCCAGCTTCCAGCTTCTGGCCTGATGCCAGATCTCGGGGCCGCCCAGCACACAAGATGCCCATGTTCCTGTCATGCACAAAGGCCTCTTCTCCCGCCTCAGCTCGCTGGGTGCCCAGCTGTGTCCAGACGCCAGGAGCCGTGAGCGTGGTCAGTTACAAACCTGGCTCCCACTGTTAAAAACAGGAAAAGGCGGCCCAGAATGAGCTGTGGACGCTGGACCCCACCCAAACTTAATACCTGACCTCACTGCAATGTCAGCCTCTCCCAGCGTGTCGACGCCACGCAGCCAGGGCTGCGGGCCCCCACACAGCCTGCTGGCCGAGGCCCCGCGCCCAGGGCAGGCGGTGACCTCCGAAGGCGCCTTCCTCTGGCTGGTGACCTTTCCTGAGAACACCCTTCCTGTGGGTGTTCTCACGCCGCCACTGAAGCTGCCAGACTCACGACGCCTCCCAGGAAAACAGTTCAGTCTCTAATGTCGTGGGTTTGGTTGTTAACAGCACCGTGGAGCCCATGGAGTGTGGCTCTCCAGGGACAGGCAGAGCAGTGGTGTTGACCTCAACAAATGTGCGAAAATGGGCCCTTCCTGGTGGCACAGCAGGTTAAAGCGCAGCTCTATAAAGCTGTCCACAGCCACTGCCGCAGAGTTCAATCCCCAGCCAGCGAGTGACCACAGGGCGCGGCACACCCCTCCTGTCTCCCCGCTGCTCCCCTCAGCAGTGTGCTTTGTCGATCTGCTCCCAGCTCTGTCTCTGGTGAAGCCTCTCACCCCTGCACCTCTAGCCTGTACCCCAATTCTTCCATGCATACATGAATAAATCCCTTTTTAAATGCCCTAAGATTAGATTCTACGAGGCTGCACTCAGCAGTGACAGTGTCAGTACCTGAGATGGTGACACACTCGCTCACATCCAGCCCCTGCCCCCCCGACACACGCCCAGCAGGGGCCCCGGCTTTTCTTTACATCCCAGAGCAAACCGCCAGGTGACCGAGCCAGTGTGTCCACCCTTACACGCTGACAATCTCCAGGACCATCTCTCCCAGAGCGAGCTGGCCAGCCTCCGCCTGAGCCCTGCACTGGCTGGGGGAGGGAGGAGTCGAGGCCGGGGTGAAGCGAGGCTTGTGTCCATGCAGCCCCCTACGCAGGGCTGCAGGGCAGTCTCGGAGTCAGGTCCAGCCACTGTGGACATGGGTGCCACTGTGCGGGCCCAAGACACGAGAGGCTGACCGTGTCCTCGGCCCTCGGCTCAACACCCATACAGCGAGTGTGCAGATCTATTTCTGCCCCTACGCATGGCAGCCCCGAGTTCACACGGCGCCCGTCACCCCCACTGACCAGATGCTCTCTGACCTCGGCTCTGGGCCCCAAGGGAAGGTCTTACCTGCCTGTGCAGCTGTGATTAGGGCCGTGTTTCCCTCGCTGTCCTGCCAGTTGACGTCAACATGGGGGCACTCTGCTAAGACCACCACAGTATCCACAAAGCCGTGGTAGCAGGCAACGATAAGCCCAGTCTAAAAATGAAGAGGGAAGCTGGTCAGAAGGGCCACACCCGAGCATCACCCCGCAGACCCCGGTGCACCCACGGCCCTCCCAGAGGGGGAAAGGCAGAGACCCTGAGTCCGGGTTCTCGGTGAGTTTCCAGCCAGCCAGCCAGCCTTTCCTCCCCGCTGTAGCGAGCACGGAGGGACACAGGCCCCTCCCTCCCGCTGCTCGCCTTCTAGCAGAGCAAAGGAGCATGCACTACAGACCCAACAGAGGCGGGTAACGGGGCGCCTGGGGATGTGCACTAGGGTGAGGGAGCTGGCGGGTCCAGGGGTTTGTGGGTCCATCTCAGAGAGTGAGCCGGAGGGGCTCACTGAGATGGGGACACTAGGGAGGGTGGCGGGTGAGGAGGAAAGAGACCCAAGGGGCAAAGAGGGGCCCATCCCCGCGCCGCCAGGGCAGCAAAGTCAGCTGGAGCAGAGTAAGCAAGAGGAGGAGGTTGAAAGCACAAAATGGAGCCCTGGAGCCCACGGTGGAAGCGGGGGACCCACTGTAAACACAGTGAGATCAAAATAAACTTTCAGTCCTTGCCCCTGGTTCACAACACAGAGCTCCGAAAATTAAGAGTTTTGCTATGTGATTAAATGACTCATCGGCGGGGAGCAGGAGAACTAAGTAGCTTCAGGGCGGGGAAGAGCCTCTACCGAAATGAACTGATGATAGGTAGATCTCATAACCCCGCCCAAATCAGGGGTCATCTGAACATCGGTTTCCTAGTCTACAGACACACCTAACTTTCCTTTAAGGCCTGTTGTTGCACACGTGATTCTGAGTTCAGATCTGCCTCCCCACACCCCAGTGTTCCCGGAGCTGGGGGTGAGGGGGTGCAAATTCCCGCCCCACACCGCACTATTCATGGAGCTGGGGGCGGCGGTGGGGGGTTTCAAATTCCAACCACATAGCAGCAACTTGTGACTGGCTAACCAAAACCTGTCAAGTCCCCAGACTTCCTCATTCTTAACTTATTTGCTTCTCTACCTCCATGCTATAACAGCCTGTACCCACTCTGGGCCAGGTGGAGGGGGGAGTGGGCAGACAACTGAGTTTTGTTTCCTATCTTCTCCACAGCTGGCCTTTGCAACAAAATTTTCTTTTCTCAGTTCATGCTTGGTGAAATAAGCCAGAAAAAAAAAAAATACCGCATGGTTTCACTCGTAGCAGTTGTGTAAGGAACCAGACAGACAGACAGAAAAAATAGATACAGTAATTGTAATAAAGTAAAAACAACATCAACTAACTACTACAAGCCAGAGACATTCTACAGGCAGGAAGGGGGAGGGGAGCAAGGCTGAAACGGGGGCGGAAGAGCGCTCGGGACATGGCGACCGCCCCCGGGTGAAGTAAGCTCAGGGGATCGCAGCCAAGATGAAAACATGCACGAAAGGAAAAATGATGTAAAAAAAAAAACAACTTTCTTTTCTCAAAAGCCAGTGTCATAGCCTTGACACCTGGCACATCAGGCACCCTGCCCGCTGCCCAGCAACCCCCACAGTCCACCTCCCGAGGGGGGAGGGCCACGGGGTCAGACACTGAGCTGAGTCACCACCGGCCAACGACTGGCCGGCTGGAGCAGCCGGGCCTTCCAAACAACGGGCGAGCGCACCCCACGAGGGCGGGGAAGCCTTGCGTCCTGCCCAGACTGTGCTCCCCGCGGCCCCCGCACGTGGGTGTCCTGGGTGGGAGCCTTTGGGGTAAACCAGAACAGGTCTCCGAGCTCTCTGGGTCACTCTAGAGGGTTATGAACCGGCGTGGGAGCCCGCTGGCCAGAAGGCCGCCTGAGTGGCCGCCCTGGTGGTGCAATGGGTCAAGGGCGGCACTGGGGGGTGATCCCCAGCCACGGCAGCGCCAGTTCGATGCCCGGCCAAGGAGTGACCCACGTGGTGCAGCAGAGCTCTCCTGACCTGCCCGCTGCTCCCCTCAGCGACGTGTTCTTCTCCCAGCTCTGTCTCAGCCCCAGCACCTCTGGCCTGTAACCCAGTTCTTATGTGCATAAATAAATAAATCTTTAATACAAAAAAAAAAAAAAACGAAAGATGTGGGGCCAGCAGCAATGGCGGTCAAATCAGGGTGAGGCAGTGGGGCCGACACCTGAGGGAGCAGGTACCTTTCAAAGACAGGCGGACCCCTCAAGGTCCCACCAGGTGAGCTCACCTCGAGAGGTGACTGTGAGCCCAGCGGGGAGCCCTCACCACGCTGGCACCTCGGGGTCTGGCCCCAGAACTGTGAGCACAGCCCTGTGATTGCTACACTGCCCCCGGCTGGTGCTGTAGAACCCCAAATGAAGACACCTTGAGACAAGGCTCACCTCCTCACACACGCGACCCAGGGAGAGCCTAGAAGCCAACCCGGGATGAGAAGTCGTGACACGGAGTTCACAGAGAGCGAGTCTGGGCCAGCCCCACAGCCACGCGGACCCACAGCTGTTGACAGGACCCATCTCTGTGCGCCCCACCTGTAATTCGAGTGCAACTTCCCAGTGACCCAGGGAGACTCCGGGAAACCCCACCGGCTTATGCCAACTCCTAGTTGACCTCAAACCATATTAACGCATGAAGAGTAGGCTCTCTGAAGCTCTAAAGCCCACCGCTCACGTCTTAACGCTGACATTCTCGTTGCAGCAAATCAGATCAACTCACAAATCTTGTGAGCACAGCAAAGCTATTTAAAACCCTGGCGTTCTTTGAAATAGGTCACAGAGTAAAGCGTTTCATAATAATTTGACTTTAGAGAGAAGGGAGATGGCCTGCACCCAGCCAGATTCCACTGAGGAGCGGTGAGCCTTTCAGGCTCCCCGATGATGGAGTCAGCACCATCTGCATCCCTCGGCCCACTCGCACACCTACAGCCTTCGGAATAGACCCGGGCGTCAGGAAGAAAGGCCGTGTGAGTGCGTGTGCGTTGTTCAACAGGTTTTTAATTACACAACTGACCCTTGCACAACACAGGTTTGAACTACCAGGCTTCACGATTACAAAACGACAAGATGCAGGCTTCTCTTATAAACCTATGTGAACTTTTCCAGAGTATTTCTCAAGAGTTCTCCAGCTCCCAGACTTATAAACATGGCGCATCGTACATGACGTCATCATCTCATTTCACAGAATTCCCCAAGTTCCTGTTTGTTACAGAAAAAACATCCAAGAACAGGGAGTGGGGGGGGGGAAGCCCCCAATGCAGGCAGACAACCACAAAAATATGGGCGCCCGCATTTTTCCTTCAACCACAAGAGGACAATTTGCTCTGTTTAGGTCACAGATACATGGATACAGCAGCAACATCTCTCCACATCAGTGCAAGCACCTCAGGTCAAAGTGTCCAGAGGACATGGCACATTCTCCCCGCCGAGGGCCGAGGGGCAGAGGCCCAGTGATCTCAGGAATCCCCCGCTCATGGACACCCACACCGACGTTTGCTCCGTAGTAAATTCTGCCATGGAAATCCCTCGAGCGAAGGCTGTGTGCATGATTCCTTAATTTCCCAGGAGAGATTCTTAGAAGCAGTATTTCTGGGTGAAAGGAAAGGAAGGCTGAAGTTTTAACGCATATTACAAACGTGCCCTTCAGAAACAGGCCAAAGGTCTTGGCCACCCCATCTCTCCTGGAGGACTCCAGGTGTAAAGAATTTCCCCTGGAGGGCGACACGGGGACCTCTCCAGGGCGCCTGCAGGACCCAGCTGCTCTCTGTCCTGGGATCACCCTTCCCTCCCCTTCGGGCTACCCCCACCACTGAGGGGAAACGTTCTAGAAGAACAGCCTTCCAGTCACCCGGGACAAGATCCCCCAGATGTGCAGCAGAGTGCTGCTGATGACAGCCTTGGAAACTCGGCATAATCTTAGGTCAGAAATAAAGATTATCAGAAGAAAGAAAGAGGTACTGAACGGGAGCACCTGCGATAAATGGTGCTGGACTCAGAAATGGTGAGCCAGTCTTGGGCACTCACACCACTATGAGAAATCATTACCTTTATTCCAGACTCTCGAGTCTGTCTCAAAAGTCCTATTTGTTCATGTTCAGAACCGGTTTTAATTACACAATTGAGCCTTGAATGACACAGGTTTGAACTACCAGAGTTCATGAGTACAAAACTGTAAGGTGCGGGGTCGTCTTGTAAACAGCCACATAAACCTGTGGTGTCGGCCAGCACAGTCCAGCACCACAGTCCTCAGGACCTCTGCTTCCGCGGGGTTTTCTTAACATTATCCTCTACTTTCCCTCATTATAAGAATAGCAAATAATTCAGAAAACGTACAAAATACGTGTTAACTGGTCGTGTAAGCTTCTGGTCAACGGCAGGCTACTACTTCGGTTCTGAGTAAGTCACAAGCTGTTTGTAGATTGTGACTGGGTGGGAGAGGTAGAGGAGAACCCCCAAACCCCCAAGTTGTTCAGAGGACAAGTGTAGTTTAAACTGCGATTTCGAGGGAGTGTCTTGGTAACCCCATTAAGAAAGTGGGGTGGGCCCTCCC